ATATATATATATATATATATGCTGAAAATTGTAAAATGCTGATGAAACAAATCATAGGAGATCTAAATAAATTGAGGGACATACCCTGTTTATGGATTGGTGACTCAACATAGCAAAATTGTTAGTTCTTCCTATTGATATGCAGACTTAATGAAATTTGTATCAAAATCCCAGCAAGATTTTTTTGTAGACAAAGGCAAGACTTTTTAAAATTATATGAGAGGCAAAAGTAGTAGAATGGCTAAAACAACTTGTTTCTCTTTTTTCTTTCTTTCTTTTTTTTTTTGAGACAAGAGTCGCACTCTGTCACCCAGACTGGAATGGAGTGGTGCCATCTTGGCTCCCTGTAATGTTCACCTCCTGGGTTCAAGCAATTCTCATGCCTCAGCCTCCCAAGTAGCTGGGACTATGGGCACCTGTCACAACACCAAACTGTTTTTTGCATTTTTAGTAGAGATGGGGTTTCACCATGTTGAAACCTGATCTTGAACTCCTGGCCTCAAGTAATCCACCTGCCTTGGCCTCCCAAAGTGCTGGGATTACAGGTGTGAGGCACCAGGCCCAGCCTAAAACAACTTTCAAAAAAAAAGAATTAAATGATTGGGAATCACTCTTCCCAGTGTAGAATATGCAATACTGTGTAGTATTGGTGTTGGGGTAGAAATATAGATCAATGGAACATAATAGAGGGTCAGAAATAGACTCTCACAAATATGTTCAATGGATTTTTGATAAAGGTGCAAAACTAGCCAGATGCGATGGCTCACACCCATAATCCCAGCACTTTGGGAGGCTGAGAAAGGCAGATCACTTGAGCCCAGGAGTTCAAGACTAGCCTAGGCAACATGGCAAAACCCTGTCTCTACAAAAAACACAAAAGTTAGCCAGTCATGGTGGTACATGCCTGTAGTCCCAGCTACTTGGGAAGCTGAAGTGGGAGGATCATTTGAACCCAGGAAGTCAAGGCTGTGATGAGCTGCGATTGTACCCACTGCCCTTCAGCCTCAGCAACAGAGTGGGATCTTGTCTCCAAAAAATGGTGTTAGTGTAGTGGGAAATCAGAGAACTGGAGAGACAGATGGGGTTGCAGGAGGATTTTATTTAATGTGATTACGAGCTCAGCAGAATTGCTTCCTAATTCTGAGCAAAGGACAAAAAAAAATGGGATTTTTTTATGCATCTAGGATGATGTAGCAGGTGCAGAAGCCAGAACAAAGAACAGTTAATCAACTTGTGACATGTTTTGTGATGTACTTTACATTTGAAAAGTAACATTTTGAGAAATGCATTCTGCAGTTTTTATTTGCTCTGTGACCTTGCAGCTGGTCAGCAAGAAAAACAGGAATTTCTAGATGTCTGGGAACTTTGCTAAGAATGTAGGGAGGTAGATAAGGGTTAAATGGTTTGCAGGAAGGCAGTTAAATATTTTGCCTTAAACAGAGCTGGGGTGGTATTATATTAAACAGCATACAACACAGCAAAATTTACTTTATTATATAGCAACTACAAATTATAAGGCTTTGTTTTACTATTATTGCTATTATTTAATTTCTTCACTAGAGCAATTGAGTATCCAAATCCTTTCACCTAAACTTCACATCCAACACAAAAATTAACTCAAAATGGGTCATAGATTTAAATGATCTTTTAGATGGAAACTGGAGAAAATCTTTAGCACTAAGAATTGCAGAAAAGTACTTAAACATGACACCAAAAGTAAAGTCCATAAAATAAAATTAATAAATTAGACTTCATTAAAGATAAACTTTTGCCCTCTGACCCAATTAAGAGGATGAAAATACAAGCCACAGATGGGAGAATATATTATTTGCAAACCAAATAATCTGACAGATGACTCATAGATGACTCATACCTAGAATATATTAAGAACTTTCAGAACTCAACAGAAAAAAAAAAAAAAAGCCCATTTAGACAGGAGATATTTCACCAAAGAGAATATACAAACAGCATATGAACATGAAAAGATACTCAACATTACTAGCCATTAGGAAATTCAAACTAAGACCATGATGAGATATCACAACACACCGATTTGAACAGCTAAACTAAATGCTCAGGTGGCAGGACAAGTGGCAATGTGCAGGTAGCCCTGCAGCCCAGCTTCACGAAGGCTCATGATGCACCTCAGCCCTCAGGCACCAGAGGAAACAGCCCCGCTGAAAGGGTGGGGAAGGAAGAGCCCAAGAGGAGGCCCATGAGATGGTCAGATAAACCTGCTTCTGCAAAAGTGCAAACAAAACCAAAAGAGGCAGCAAGGAAGAATCATCCTCAGACAAAAAACTGCAAACAAAAGGGAAAGCGGGAGCAAAGGGAAAGCAGGTCAAAGTGGCTAAACAAGAAACTAAAGATTTAAAGATTTACCTGCAGAAAATGGAGAGACTGAAAATGAGAAGAGCACAGCATCTGATAAAGCAGGAAAGAAAGAGCCACATGTGATTCGTGTCAAGTATCACGTCTTATCGGTGGTCCCTGTCTCCCTTCTTGTGTAATCCAGGGGAGTATTTTTATCAACTAGTTTGTAACTATACTTTTTTTAGTAGCTCTAGGAAACATTGAAAATGAGCAGATACCACTTCATTCCACTTTTTAAAGTGTAAATGCTTTTTTTTTTTGAATTTAATAATTTTTAACCTGCTTGGCAATTTCTAGAGTGGTAGTTCTCATATGTTTTCATCTCAGGATCTCTTTATAATCTCAAAAATGAAGAACTCAAAGAATATTTATTTATATAGACTATATTAAAATTTGTATTTATTTTAAAATAGTAATTACTTGCATATAAACGTAATAGTTTTTATTAAAAACTATCTTGTTTTCAAAAAATCAGTGAAAAGAATGACATTGTTTTAAATTTACACAACTCTGTATTAACTTGCTCATGTCTGCTTCTGCATTATAGTACATGTAGTCCAATATAGCATAGGAGCACATTATAACTACTCAAAACAAACTGAATCAATCTCTTAAAAAGCAAATATTTACACCCTTAACCTAGTACCTTAGGGAATTATAGAAAATACAAAAATATACTATCACACATTCTATTAATCATTATATCAATAACAGGTTGTATAGTTTCTGGAAAATACCACTGTGCCTTCATGAGAGAATGAGGGTGAAAAAGGCATGTATTACCTCAATGTTACCATAAAAACGCTTTGCCTTCCTGGAACCTTTAAAAGGATCCTATAGTGTTCTATGAACCATACTCTAAGAATCACTGCCCTAGAGTGCAATAAAAGTTTTATTTTAGAAACTGGAGTGCTTTTTTTAAAAAAAAATCTTTAATTGTCCCATTCCAGTTAAATTCTTCCTCAGTTTTATATCAGGTTAACAAAGAACTTTTTAATTCTTTAGTAAGGTTTGTATGAAAGAAAGAAGATAAAACTGTTTAAATTGTAGGGTTTCTTGGGGAAATACTTGGAAAATATACATGTTGACCTTAAAATAAGTTGGGCAAGATCAGTTTTGATTTGGTGCTCCATATCAAAAAGACTCATTCTAAGGACTTGGTCCTTAAAGAATCATCTTCTCTTTTATATTCCCATTTCAACTGTGTATTTGGTAAATGTTTAAAGAAATAAGTATGTGTTGATGACTGTGGTTATCTGTTGTGGATGTATGTTAGAACCTGGAAATACATTGTAAGAAGACAGCACAGTTTGCAGAGACAAACTTCAGCAATATATGTTGGCTCCTTGTTGTATAGTTCAGTTGTTTTGTTAAAATATTAGGGAAAATTGATATATTTTAAAAATGTATTTCCAGAATGGAAGAGCAGCCTGTTTACTCCTACTTGGAAAATGTTCTTTCTAAAATGAATATATAAACTCCAGGAGCATATTGATGATAAGATTGCTTTGTTAATGGATTTGCTGCAAAATCCCAACGCCTCACCCACTGGGATGTCTCTAAGACATTATGACTCTGGAGAAAGACTTTCAAATGGAGAAAGATAAACTCAACATAAACAATGTACTGCAGATATTTATTACATATTTATTACAAAGCCAAAACCCAAATATGTTTATAAAAAGCAAGGTTTTAATGTCATCATCTTACTTACATGAAGTGATCTCAGTGTTCATTATTCCTATACTTGTACTGTATACTGAGAGTTAACATGATACAGTCCTAAATTATTTTTGCTAGTCATATTTTAACTCATAAGTTTATGTATACTTCTGTGTTATATTTCTAAATGTTAAGTAATTTTTAATATAATTCATTAGTTTATATAGTATATGTTTGATTTAAGTACTGTTTTGATTTATATGAAGAACTTATTTTATAGTTTTAGGGGTATAAAAAAATGGTTAGAGTGTTTTTTTTTTTTTTTTCTAATTTACTGTTCTTGGAAAACTAGCTACTTAAGCTGGAAGTTTTACTTTCAGATCACCAAGTTAAATTTTATATTGTTTATTTCAGATAAAAAATTAGATGTGATCTTTGGCATCTATAAAATCAGTTTACATAGAAGCCATTAATTTTACAGTCTGTCACATTGTAACAGTAGGTTAAGAAAGTGAATATCAGAACTGGCCTATTCCTTGTTAGGATTATTACTTTGGAGTTAGTGTATGATATAAAATGGGAGCATTCATCTAGTTTTATCTCAATAAACCCAGAAAGTGTAAGGAAGTCTGTTTTGTTCGTTGTTTTGTTGGGGTTTTGTTTTGTTTTGTTTTGTTTTGTTTTGTTTTGTTTTGAGCTGATATAGATTCTTTTTTTTCCAAGCCCTTTCCTGATACATTTGAAGTGTGAAATGCTGAGGCTCCCCACTGAACCCCAAAAATTAATGGAAGGGAAATAAGACCAGAAAAGATAAAAGACTTAGAATTAAGTGATTCAAAACAGTACTTATATCTCACAAGAGCAAAAATATACCTGTGGAATGGAATTCAGAACTCCATGAAAGAGAGCTGGGGTCCAGAGAGCTGATGTCACACAGCCTGTGGCATGAATGTTAGAGCTGGCCCATTCTACCAACTCTGGCTAAGCCTGAGCTTCCAAAAGTGATCTGAGCTGTTCAACCTTGGCACTTAATTACTGCTAGCAGAGATAATTATGTCCCTCTTTCTCAGATTACAGGCTTGAGAAATTCTGAATATCCCATACCCTAAAGGTTTTTTTCTTAACTTTATTGTTACAATTGGCCTTCATCCAGCTCTAGATGGTTGAACTGTAGTAAGTATGCTTACCTATCAGATTGGTTATTCTCTCCTGGCTCACTGTTCCCTAATTCAGAGTGTTAGATTAAACAAATTACTTATTCCAAACAAATTGGGTTTCCTGGGAGAATTTGGTATTTACAAGGAAAAATGGCAGAGGCAGGCCTATGGTCTACTAGGAAGACAGAATGACGGACATGGGGCTCCTGGATAAGCTGGCTCCTGGTCTGTACAGGCCCCTTCCCATCTCTGAGCCCTAGCAAGGGTTTAGCTGGAAGCATCAATAATATCCTTAACCCCTGAGATTACCCAGTTGTCAGTGGGAAAACTTAAAACTGTTTTTCCCAAAATACTTATCACTTATGAAATAGATTTACATATTCTCAGTATTGTTAGACAAAATTTTTAAACTATCTTAGTTTCATAAAATAATTTTAAACCTAATGTACAGTGAGGGGTGATTTCTGACTCTCTGAGTGAACATATTTCAGGGGTCCAGGTGGTGGGAAGTAAAGCCATCAGCTCCAGGGTAGGCCTGTGGTCATTTCCAGCTACACATCATGCCTGTGAGAGGGAAACAGTCTTCCCACTGTCTGTCATTCTGACTTCCTTCCCTTTGGAGTTTGCATTTAAGTCCTTTTTTTTTTTTTTTTTTTTTTTTTTTTTTTTTTTTTTGAGACAGAGTCTCTCTCTGTCACCCCGGCTGGAGTGCAGTCATATGATCTTGGCTCACTGCAACCTCTGCCTCCTGGATTCAAGCAATTCTCCTGCCTCAGCCTCCCGAGTAGCTGGGACTACAGGCACATGCCACCACACCTGGCTAAATTTTGTATTTTTAGTAGAGACAGGGTTTCATTCACCTTGTAACCTTGTTAGCCAGAATGGTCTCAATCTCCTGACCTCATGATCCACCTTCCTTGGCCTCCCAAAGTGCTGGAATTACAGGCATGAGCCACTGTGTCTGATCTTAAATCCATTTTTATCGATAAACAAACCCTTTTGTTTACCTGGGCCAGCTTAGGAACCTAAGCCTATCTGGAAAGATTTGCTTGCAGTTTGCATATATAAGGATCTGTGTTTGGGGTTCACTCCTCCTCTACTAATGGAAGTATGCTGAGGTTGCTTAGTGGCTGTGTGGGGAGGGAGGCCATGTTCTGCTTTCCTGCACTTTCTCCATAGGTGTGGCAAAGATGTTTGATCTCAGAACGAAGATCATGATCGGCATTGGAATCAGCTTACTGGTTGCCGCGATTGTGCTCTTATGTGTTGTGCTCTGTCTTTACTTCAAAATAGCCAAGGCACTAAAGTGAGTCACATGGGGGAAAGCGAATCATACCTCCTTAAATGGAATATGTGGACTCCCTATTTTAGCAAGGTCATTCCTTGCTGCTGTGCCATACCCCTGGGTAAGGTCAAGAAGAACAAGCAGCTTTAAAAAGGCAGAAATGGCAGAGGAGTGTAAAATATTTTCCCTTCTGCCTTGGGTTTGTAGAATGTTCTCAGCTTAGGGCTATGAGTGTCAGTACTGCTTGTCTGTCACTGGACCTCACTGAATTTACCATCAGGGGTTTAATTCAGCGCTTTGGCCAAGCCTCCCTTTGCTCAGCTCCTTGGCTAGTGCCTCCCTGAGTTCAGCACCTTGGCCAATACCTTCCCGGGCACTGTAGGCTGAACTCTAGGGGAGGCTGCGTGAGTGAGCCTCTGCCTTGTGCTCGCGCGGAGCGAGGACAGGGTGAATTGATCTCCTCTTGCCTGAGTTTGGAGCTTTCACTGTTTTCTTTCATTGCTGGTAGCCTTGAGAACAAGGAGCTGGACCTTTAGGACTCTGGGACAGCTGACCTGTGTAAATATCCTGGGAGACAGCAGAAAACGGAATGTAGGTTGAACAAAAGACAGTTTGGGAAGAAGACTCTTCAAGTACCAGATTGATTGGTTGTCAGATACAGTTGTGTCTCCATTCCAGGGAGTTCGCAATGACACATCCCAGATCCTGGGGCACAGCTGAACTCAGCACCTTCCCGTCATTCCTGCATCTCGGGGGCCTGCAGTAACCAGCTGGGTTACCTTGCTTGCAATTCACTTACCCTTACTTTTGTCACCTGAGTTTACATTTATAGCAATTGTAAGAGAGGAAGGGATTCAAGAGGAACTTGGGATGGGAGCAAGCTTTAATTTAGGACTGGTGTTCATGTTTGATTGGCTTCAGCACTAAACTTCCCAGATAACCCCCAACAGTTCTAACAAAAGGACTGAGAAGAAAAATTCTAAGCCTGTGCTTTGTGTGTGTCTTTTCTCAAGAGCTGCAAAGGAATCTGGTCACAACTCAGACAAGGTGTTGTACGCCAAGAACAGCCAGGCCAAAACCATGGCCACGGAGTCTTGTCCGGCCCGGCAGTGCTGTGAAGGATGCAGAATGTATGCCGATTTTGATTCCCTGCCACCTTGCTGTTGTGATATACATGAGGGCCTCTGACTTGGGAAAGGTGGGCACAAAATCTTCATGAGCAGTATTTCTTTCTTAGTATAACATTTTATTATGCAAATCAAGTTCTAGAGTATTTACACGCTATTATGTACAGTGTTATTTTCTGTACTTCTGAATAAATGTGCAATATTGGAAATAATCCTCTTCCTCCAGTATTTTTGTTAGTTATAAACATCGCTTATTTAAATATGTGTATTATCCACTTTGGGATTTGAGATCACTAGCTGGTAATATTACACTGCAGTAAAATAAAGTTAGAAAATAAAAACGCCCAGCACATCTCCCACCCTGCAAGGAAAATGCGTATCGATAGGGCATTTCCAGTGTCAGCCTCGGCTGATGTTACCCAGCTGAAGTAGCTTATTCTGCTCTCCTGAGGGCTTAGGTCATCGGCACCCAGCTCCTCCACCGCAGATAATGGTCCATTCATCTAAGACAGTGAGAGGAGCCAGGGGGGATGTCTCTTGCATTAAAGTCATCTAATCTGTGTAAAAGTAGGCCTGAGCTCAGTGGCCTCAAAGGCACATTTGGAAAACCAGATTCCTCCTGCTGCCGCCCCCAGATCATCAGAGCAGGTGCCTCCTTTGTGGATACGGTCACACTGATGTGCGCTGATCCAGCCATCATCTTCAACTATAACAGGGACTTGCAGTCAAAGACCAAAACCCAGACTTTCTGGACCACGGTGAGAAAGAAAAGGAACTGTTTATCTGAGGATAACAGGTAAGCATGACGGGGAATGTGAGCCCCCTTTAATTATCAGGCCCAGAGAGGCATTGAAATGAAAGAGTAGTCATGTCTCACTGCCTCACCCCATCTTGAGCTAAATAATTACCTCACGAAGCCACTTGCTATGTGGGCTCCAGACTGATGCCAAGAAGCCATAAAAAGCCATACGCTGGACATGAGAACTCATATCCCATAATCCAACACTGTAGAGCCAATCGCTAACCTATGTTATCTCTGTAAACCAGTGAGAATTCCTGTTAAACAGCTCTGTATTAGCCACTCCTGATCCCCTTTGCCTTTTTCTTTTTTTCTTTTTTTTGAGACAGTCTTACTCTGTCTCTCAGGCTAGAGTGCAGTGGCACAATCTCAGCTTACTGCAAGCTCCAACTATTCTCCTGTCTCAGCCTCCTGAGTAGCTGGGATTACAGGCATGTGCCACGATGCCCAGCTAATTTTTGTATATTTGGTAGAGACAGGGTTTCACCATGTTGGCCAGGCTGGTCTCAAACTCCTGACCGCAAATGACCCACCCACCTTGGCTTCCCAAAGTGCTGGGATTACAGGCATTGAGCCACCACACCTGGCCCCCTTTGCCTTTAAAAACCTACTAGTAACAGGCCGAGCAGAGCACTTCCCAAGGCAACCTGGAAGTGTGTCCTGGCTGGTCCTCATCCTTGGCCCAAATAACCTCTCTATGTTAATTTCCCTTTAGTTTCTTTTTTTTCTAGGCCAAGTATAGCAACAGGCAGCAGGAAGCCTCCCTTTCCTCTTCTGCTCCCAGCTGCCTTCTGTTCTGGCTCCTTCCCCTGAGCCTCCTGGAAAATTCTTTCAAGCAGGAGAAAGATGTAACCACCCTGTGCACTCCTCTCATGAACTAAACGGTTGCTTGTGAACACCACATGTAGACAATATAAAGAATTATTCCAGCCTGGGTAACATAGAGAGGCCCTGTCTCTAACAAAAATAAAAACTAAAAAAACTTAGCTGGTTATGGTGGTGCATACTTGTAGTCCAGCTTCTCAGGGGCTGAGGTGGATGACCTGAGCCCTGGGGTCAAGGCTTCAGTGAGCTGTGGTCACACCATTGCACTCCAGTCTGGGTAACAGAGGAAGGCCCCGTCTCAAAAAAAAAAAAAAAAAAGGAATAAGAATTATATTAACTAGTAACAGTTGGTTACCTACTAAAGGAGTAAACAGGAAAACAGGAATAGCGAATGAAACAAACAGCTGTCATCCAGGCGATGGGGTGGTGAACAAAGATAGAATTAAGCATCTGGGGGGCCACCTGCTGGCTGAGCTCCAGGGCTCTGGGCAGAGTGTGTGGCAGTGTCAGGGATCTTCAGGACCTTAGTGCTGGGGAAACAGGCCAGAAGAGGCCAGGCCCAGCAGCTCCAGAGGAGCCGCCCGCCCTTGGAGCCAAGCGACTCCCTGGAGGCAGCCCTGAGACCCCCTCCTGGAAGTGACCTCTTACCCTCGAGTTTCTGGGCACTGTCTCCATCCTTTGACGCTGATATACTTTTGTAACCAGCAAGCTCTGAGCAGAAAGAGCACCCATGAGTCCCCTCTTACCCCACCCAGTGGGGGATCCAGGCACGTGGGCAACTATGCCTGGTGCAGGCATTGGAGGGGAGCCATGAGGGCGGTCTGTGGGACAAGGGTCTTCAGGATGTCCCCATTAGCAAGAGGGCAGAGCACCACACGTGGGCTTTAGAGCCCTACAGGCTCAGTTCCCATCCTGATTTGGCCTTCACAAGTGGGGACTTGCAAAGGTAACAGGGAAGAAACAGTGAGATGGTGACCCCACAGCACCCCATGATCCACAGGAAGTTGCCAAGGGCCTAAAGGTGGCTTCCCTCACCCCCACCCCATCCCACCCCACCCCACAGAGTATGGCCATGTAACTCACACTCAGTGCGGACAGATCAGGGATGTTGGAGATCCTGGTCATGGGAGACGGAGAGGGGTTCAGAGGGAGAGCCCTGGGTGGGGGTGGTTATTTGTGAACACAGCTGTGAGTAAGCAGCACTTAGTAATCAGAAGAGTCCCCTCTCAAATGCCTGTACCCTGCTCACTCACCCCAGGACGCCCAGTCCTACTTCATCCACAGCCAGCCTAAGCAGACAGGAATGGAGCAGAGCTGGGCAGGGGTCTTGGAGAATGTCCAAGCTCCTCCTGAGCATCACATTCCGGCATCTCAGGTGCTGCCTTTCCCTTGCAGCATCAGGTGTGGGTCCAACAAGGAATGGATCCCCTGGGTCACAGCATAGGACTGTGTTCTCCCCAGGGAGGCATCGTGGGCTGGGCTGCAGCACAGTCAGAACAATACAGAGGAGCTGGCAGTAGCCAGAGGATATCCCCGCAGGAGACACAGCCTACACCAGCGTCAAACCTCCACAGAGCTGCACAGAGGTTCTTCAAAAAGTAGCCAATGCTGGCACTGTCCACTCGAAATGTTCCACCTGAACGTAGAGTGAAACCCAGATGCCTCATTGGTCCTACAGGTCCTTCCGCATCCGACCTTCACCTGCTCCCCTCCATCCTCCCTCCCAGCTCACTCTTCCACTCACATCCACCGGGCTGTTCTTTCTTCCCTAATACTGTAGGTGTGCCCAGCCCCTCCCTGCCTAAGGGCCTTTGCACTTGCCCTCTCTTTTGCCTAAAATGCAACCCCTGAGCTCAGATCACACATGAATGCCTCCCTCTTATCTTTCTTTGCTCAGACTGCATCTCTCAAGACTCACTCCCTACCTCCCACCCTTATATTTCCTCCCTTCCCCAAGGCAGCCACTATCTATTAATAGAACAGGTCACCCTGTCTTATTGTAGTCAGAGCTCCTCTCACTATTTGAATTCTTCATTTATTTTTGTTTTTTAACTCTCCATTTAGAATACAAGATTATGTCTCTCATGTTCAATTCTGTATTGCTCAGGACCCAGAACATTACATAATTTGCTAAATAAATGAAAATGAAAAGAGAGCAGCCCCACCCTCCCCAATACACACATTTTCCCTTCCTAGTCTCATCATGGACACCAGGATTTTCTCCTCTTGGCCGCAAAACACAGTGCCCAAGGCACCAAGCTAACTGCTCCAGCCTCTCCAGATAGAATCTGTTAGAAATCTCTGCAAGGGAACAAGGATCTCCACTCCCTTTTCCTCCTCACGCTCTGCCCCCTCTCCTCACCGCTCAGACATCTGGCAGAGCATCTGAGTGACTACAGGGTAAACAAACCGGACATCAATAACTTAAGCATACCCTGAGATAACCCTGTGTGGCAGATGCACCTGAATGTGTTCAGAAGTAGTGAATCCAGGAGTGGTTAGCCCTGAGATTCATTTCTTGTCTGTGAGGAACATCTGAGCCCCGATCCCATCCTATGGAATGTAGGCCAAACAGGAGACCAAGGCCATTTTGGGTTAAGTGAAGGCTGCCAGGTGGAGACTGCTAGGGGGAGGGTGCTAAGTGAAATTGCCACATGAACTGCCTGCTCTTTGCCAGCAGTTGCGACTTTCCTTCCCAGCCCATCTCCACTGGGCCATGCAATTATTCTGTCCAGCCCACACTGAACTCTGTCCCCTGTATGTAGTCCATAATAAAATCCCATGTCTCAGTTTCTGGCTCTGAGTCTCTTCTTTGGCCTCTTGAGCCGGATGAGATTGGAGTTGACAGGCATTCGGCAGGACAGTGACCCAGCTGGACCCAGTTGGCCCAGGTGCCACATCTCTACCTTGCCCTACTGATCCTCTGGCCTCCCACAGGCCTCCCTTCCCAGGCCAGAGGCCCAAAGGCCTTAGATGTCACTGAGGCCTCAAATGTCAAAGGCCTCAAATGCCAGTTCATGATTGGCAGGAACAGCGCAAAGGTCCAGCTCCCTGTCATTTCCACAGCAATTTTCTCATTGCCTGCGGGGTGCCAGCTGCTGGAGATCCCCACAAAGAGCTGCCACTGGGGGCAACCCTTCTAGGAAGGAGCTGAAGAGAGGGAATTCTCACTGTGGGGACTGCTAGGAAACTAGTCGTGGAGCTGCTCTCTTCTCACACAAATCTACTCTTTGTGTGGCTGGAACTGACATTTCCCTGGAGGTGTCCAGACAGCTGATGAAACACAGAGCCTACAAAAGCTGCCAGTCCTTAAGGCTGCCAGCCCCTGACAAGATGGAATTTGTAAGGAGGCTCATGCCTTTGGCCCTTTTAATTGTCTCCTGATTGGCAGAGTTGATGTTGATGGAGGCTGAAGGGAAAACATATTTTTTTGTCAAAATACTGCCCTTTAAAAGGTGCTTGCTAGAGGTTTTAGAACTTTTTGAGTGCTCTGCTGGCCCCAGGGTGGAAAAAAAATAACTCTTAAATATTATTAGTTGAAGATTAAGTTAGTGTCAAGTTCATTCTGGTGATACTGCAATACATATAAAATATAAAAAGCACATGGAATTTAACCAGGTAATCTTACTTCTAAACACTTAGCCTCAGGAAACAACTATAAGTGTCCAAAGATGTATGTGCAAGCATGCACATTATACTATATTAATAAATGTAACAAACAACAAAAGTCTCCATTTTTTACCATGAATCTTATGGTAAAGACATACAAAGAACTGTGTGGATTTTAGTTTTTAAAGGACACTGATCCAGGAGAAGGAAACGGAGAAAGATGGCTGCCAGTCCTTAAAGCTGTCCAGTCCCTGGCCAAGATGGAGCTTATAAGGAGGGTCATGCCTTCGGCCCTTTTAATTGTCTCCTGACTGATGAAGGCTGAAGGTAAAACAAACATCCTCCCCACAGGAACACCAAACTGAACAACTATCGACACCAAAAAAGCACCTTAATAAAAACCAAAAACCGCCAGGCATGGTGGCTCAGGCCTGTAATCCCAGCACTTTGGGAGGCTGAAGTGGGCAGATCACCTGAGGTCGGGAGTTTGCGAGCAGCCTGACCAGCATGGAGAAATCCTATCTCTACTAAAAATACAAAATTAGCGTGTTGTGGTGGCGCACGCCTGTAATCCCAGCTACTTGGGAGGCTGAGGCAGGAGAATTGCTTGAACTCGAGAGGCGGAGGTTGTGGTGAGCCGAGATTACACCATTGCACTCCAGCCTAGACAACAAGAGCGAAACTCCGTCCCAAAAAAACAAACAAACAAACAAACAAAAAGTTGAGTGATCACAGTAACTGTTTTTAACTTCATATCACTGAAAGAGGCACAGAAGAGGATGGGAAAGACAGTCTTGAATTGCCAACACCACTCACCTCCCTCATCCCCTGGCAGTGGCTAAATGACATGGAGGAAAAAAAAAATCTGTGCACTTGGTGAGAGGGAGAGTGCAGTGACTGTGGGACTTTGCATTGAAACTCAGTGCTTCTCTGTCACGGCAGAGAGAAACGCCAGGCAGAACTCAGCCGGCGCCCATGGAAGGAGCATTTAAACCAGTTACAGCCAGAGGGGAATCACCTCTCCCAGTGGTTGGAACCTGAGTTATGGCAAGCCTGGACACTGCAGGCTGAAGTGCTCAGGGTCCTAAATAAACTTGAAACGGGGTCTAGACCACAAGGACTGTAATTCCTGGGCAAGTCCAACTATATGGAATTCAGGACACAGGAAAACCATGGAGATGGTAAAGACAGCAGTGGCTACCAGAGGTTGGGGGGTTAGGAGGAATGAGTAAGCGGAGCACAGAGGATTTTTAGGGCAGTGAAACTAATCTGTGGGATACGATAATGGTGGATACACGTCATTATACATCTGTCCAAACTCATAGACTGTACAACACTAAGAATGAATCCTATGTGAACTATTGACTTTGGGTGATAATGACATCAATCTAGGCTCGTCAGTTGTAATAGATGTACCATTCTAGTGAGAATGTTGATAGTAGAGGAGGTTATGCATGCGTGAGGATAGGGAACATATAAGAATTCTCTAGCTTCTCTCAATTTTGCTGTGAAACTAAAATGGCTTTTCAAAAGCCTTAATTCAAAAACTTGAATTTATTAATTTCTATAAACACATTCACTACAAAGACTTGCATAATACATCTTTAAGTTTGAAAATAGTTGAACATTTGTGTCAATATGGAAACATCCTAGCAAATACTGTTTTTCAATTTCAAAGAAGGAAACTAATTTCCCTGTTAATCAAGTATGTTTTGACAACTATGAAAAATGCTGACCCTTAATAAATGACCCTGCATGGCTCCTTAACTGTAACCCTTTTTTTTTTTTTGGTAGAGACAGGACCTCACTATGTATACCCAGGCTGGATTCAAACTCCCTGCCTCAAGTGATCCTTCTGCCTCAGCCTCCCAAAGTGTTTTTAAGATTATAAGCATGAGCCACCATGCTGAGCCAGACTGTAATACTTTAATTTCACAAGTTTTCTGCCTCCCACTGGGAAGCCAAACTAAATCAGCCATTTGAAATAGAAATACTTTTAGGGGCCAGGTACAGTGGCTTGTATCTGTAATCCCAACACTTTGGGAGGCGAGGTAGGTAGACTGAGGTCAGGAATTCAAGACCAGCGTGGCCAACACAATGAGACCCCATCTCTACAAAAAATACAAAAATTAGCCAGGTGTGGTGGTATGCTACTTGGGCGGCTGAGGTAGGAGAATTGCTTGAACACAAGAGGCGGAAATTGCAGTGAGCCGAGATCACGCCATTGCACTTCAGCCTGGATGACAGAGTGAAACTGTCTCAAAAAAAAAAAAAAAACAAAAAAAACTTTTAGGAATATTTTGTCTTTGATTTTTAATATAAACACTAAGCTAATTCAAATAACAGTTCCTCTATGTTATGCTGACATTGTTCCAAATAACAAATGCATAAAATCTGTAGAGAAATCACAAATTTATCAAATTCCAAATTGCCAAATATGACTTTTTCTTGCTTCCCAATTATTTTATCATAAAATATATGCAGAAGGAACTCAGAATTGTCCTTTCAACTGTCTTTTCCTATCTTCATTCATAATCCCTGCTTAGAATACAGTAATTGCTACTACATCATAGTGAGGCATTCTGTGACTCAAGGAACAGACCACAACTACCAGAAGATGCAGGACTATCAACTAACAGACTCAAACTTAAGTGAGACAGACTTCTTAATGAGAAAGGAGATACTATCTTATATCTACAGGTATTGATCGACTTACGACCTATGTAACTTATGACCATTCGACTTTATGACCACAATGGCTAGCCACGACTGCTCCGCATCTGGCAGCGCAAATGTTGCCCAGCTGGGCATACGACAGTGCGGACCAGCTTCCGGCAGCACTACCATCTCCGCGTGCACCATTTCAACTGTTATCCCAGACTCGGTACAGCAATTTGTGTTTTGTGTCTTGGATATTTTTCATCAAACCCCTCCCAAGATGTCTACCAAGAGGAAATTGTCTTTGTCTACCAGCTGTACTGGTAATGCAGTGTTTTACTTAAACCTGATGAATGTAAAAATAAGAAACAAAATGGTGTAGAGATGATACAAATGGCATAAAATCAACAAAATTATGATATATAACAATAATGAAAGAAAATTATGACAAAATATGACTTAAAGATTTTTATAACATCATTTCACAGTACTGTACATATAGTGTACTCAACCTACAACCAAATCGTGTTACGACTGGTCTGTCGGAACCAATCGTGGTCGTAAGTCGAGCACTAGCTGTATACAAACTGTCCCATAAATACTGGCTCTTCAAGGAATAAGAAAAGGGATATGCAAATCCTGACATTACTATGGTCACAGTTCCATATACTGTGTTTGTTCCATATACTGTGTCACCTTTGTAGTATGATAAAAATGAACAAACAGCATACAAATCAGCCTTCCTTTTGTTACCAACAAAGCTGGTCCTCCAAAAGATGGGGTCTTTTCCTTCTGGGTGTCACAAAGCCAATACCTGAAACTAAAAGTGAGTGACAAACAGTGCAGGTTTTATTCAATGGCCACAGAATTGAGAAGCCGGAGCATGGCTCACAGATCAGCCTCTCAACTAATGAGGAGTGAGGGAGTTAAAATATAATTTATCTAATAAAGCTGTTGCATATTAAAGCAAAGGGAGGAATATTCATGTATTTTTCAGAAATGGGCAGCAAGCTTGCTAAAACGAGAGTGCTGCCTTTCTTTTTGTCCTTTCATGGCTTCTTCTGGTCATTGTCATGGCGACTGTCAACTGTCATGGCACTAGTGGGAGTGTCATTTAGCACAGAAATAAGATTATAATAAGGCTGAGGTCTTTTTCAAGTCATCTGGTCAGGTATCCTAGCTGTTATCAGTCTCCACTGGTCTGGTTACAAAGGGAACTTTTTTCACAGGCATTCTCTTAAAGAGAAGCAGAATTAGGGCAGGGTAGAAATTCAGTTATGTTGCGCAGGCATTACATCAGTTAACACTTTTAAAGAACAAACATGCCAAAACATTAAAGGAGTATGAGATATCCTTTTTCTAAAAGATGAAACATTTGAAGCAAAGATTAGTTGAAAATAAAACAGTTCTACTAACTAAAGACAAGTAGTTTCCAGAGCAGGTATATTTATTTTTATATGCGAATATATCACCCTTCAACACATATACAATAGTTATAAAATCAGAAAACTAAGTCTACCAGAGAGAATTGCAATCTCTTGACTCACATGTGTTAATCCTTCCATGCGGAGCCTCAGTATTTCACACAATAAACATGCCAGAAAAGAATTCTGGGGAGAAAACCTGTATCAGCTCAAAAGAAGAGGTTTTCTTATACTGTCTGGGGTTACTGAGGTCAAACAAGATGACTGCCCCTGTTTTACAGGAAACATTAAATCCAAGTACTAATCCTAACAAGGACTAGGCTGGTTCTGATGTTTACTTTCCTACCTAGAGCTACTCTGTAATGAAACAAATAGTATTAACAGCCCAAGAGTGAACTAATTTTACACATCCCAAATATCATACCTTATTTATTATCTCAGATAAACAATACAAAATGTAAATCGATAATCTGAATTAAAGGCTCCAAGTCTGAAGTATCCAATTTCCCAAGATAATTAGAAAAAGAAAAAAAAAATCAAATACTCTAAGGATCATTTTTCATATTTCTAAGACTATAAAATATTTATATAAATAAAATTTATACTTAAACACATATACAATACAAACTAATGAACTATATTAGAAATCTTTAAGCATTTTAAACACAAGTATACATAAATTTCTGTAAGACTGAAAAATATGAGCAAAAGTAATTTGACTGTATCATATTAACTCAGTGTACAATACTGGATTTAAAATAACAAGTGTAGTAAAAATGAAAACTGAGGTCACTTTATATGAGACAACGATCCCTAAAAGGACATTAAATACTTGCTTTTCTTAAATATTTTTGGGTTTTGGCATTGTAATAAATATGTAAAAAATATCTGCAGTACACTGTTTTATGATGAGTGCTTATCTTTCGCCATTTGAAAGTCTTTCTCCAGAGTCATAATGTCTTAGAGGCATCCCAGTGGGCGGTGAGTTGGGATTTTGCAGCAAGTCCATTAACAAAGCAATCTTATCATCAATGTGTTCCTGGAGTTTATATATTCGCTGATCAATGTAATCCATAAGTTTCTTTTCCATCAGTTCCATATTTTTAGAAAGAATCTTTTCCAAGTAGGAAAAAACAGGTTGCTCTTCCATTCTAAAAACACATTTTGAAAAATATATAAATTTTCCCTAATATAACAAAAACAACCAAGCTTATAAAACAAGCAGCCAACATATATTGAGATTTGTCTCCACAACTCTGCTCTGTCTTCTTACAATGCATTTTCAGGTTCTAATACACATCCACAACAGGCAATCACTGCCCTAAATGCCCAACATATTATTGTTTAATTCTTTTTTAGTATACAATTGACCTAGAATATAAGAGTGAAAAGGAACCCTGAAAGAACAAGTCTTTAGAAAGTGTTGTTTTGCTTTGAGCTCCAAATCAAAACTAATCTTGCCCAGTTTTCTTCTAAAGTCAACATGTACATTTTCAAATACTTCCCCAAGCAACTCTATAAAGATTTTTCTTCCTTCATACAAACAACCTTACTGAACTACTGGAAGATTCTTTTATTAACCTGATATAAAAACACTTGAGAATTTAACTAGAATGGGAAAGCTAATAAATAAAAAGCACACCAATTTCTAATGCTCACAATAAACATTAGAACAGTAAGTCTCAGGCCAGGCACGGTAGCTCACACCTGTAATCCCAGCACTTTGGGAGGCGAGGTGAGTGGGTAACTTGAGGTCGGGAGTTTGAGACCAGCCTGGCCCACATGGTGAAACTCCATCTCTACTAAAAATACAAAAATTAGCAGGGTATGGTGGTGGGTGCCTGTAGTCCCAGCTACTTGGGTAGATCGATTGAACCCAGGAGACGAAGGCTGCAGTGAGCCGAGACTGAGTCACTGCACTCTAGTCTGAGTGATAGAACAAGACTCCATCTCAAAACAAGAAGAGTAACTCTCAGACTGTGGTCCACAAAACCCTGGAGTCTCCACGACTCTTTTGGAAATTCACTAAGATCACAAGTATGTTTATACTAAGATCTTATTTTACTTTTTCATCCTCATAATCATGAATTTTCCAGAGGCTACAAAATGTACATTATTGCTCTGATGACTGACAGAATTCGTACTTGTGTAGTTTTCTCTTTCCTAAAATTTCAATGGAGTAGAGATTTCGTGTAGAAATATATGCTTTTTCAGAGATTAATCCAGTCTGTTCTCAGTATTCCTACTGTGCTCTTACTAGCTATATTTGACTGTACATGCTATAATTCAGTATATATAAAAAACAGCCAAAAGCTATTACGTATTGATTCATGTACATTTAAAATAATACTATTCTCGATAAAATTTTAGGAAAGTCTGGCAGTTTTTTCACAAACACTGTTATTTATGTTAATACACAGTGGGTTTATTGTTTTAAAACAAATAAATATTTTTATGTAGCCTAGTTTATTGGGATCCTCAATTATTTTTAAGAGTGTAAAGACCAAAAGTCTGAGAACCACTACTCTAGAATACACGAGAGTTTTTTGTTTTTTGTTTGTTTGTTTTGGTTTTTTTTTTTTTTTGAGACAGAGTTTCACTCTTGTTACCCAGGCTGGAGTGCAATGGCGCGATCTTGGCTCACCACAACCTCCGCCTCCTGGGTTCAGGCAATTCTCCTGCCTCAGCCTCCTGAGTAGCTGGGATTATAGGCACGCGCCACCATGCCCAGCTAATTTTTTGTATTTTTAGTAGAGACGGGGTTTCACCATGTTGACCAGGTTGGTCTCGATCTCTCGACCTTGTGATCCACCCGCCTCGGCCTCCCAAAGTGCTGGGATTATAGGCTTGAGCCACCACGCCCGGCCTACACGAGAGTTTTTAAGAAACTCTTTATTTTGAAATAATTATGGATTCACAGGAAGTTGCAAAGATATTAGTTCCTCAGTACCCTTTATCCAATCCTGCCAATGGTCGCATCTTGTCTGCCTATAATCCAATATCAAAACCAGGAAATTGATATTAGTATAATGTGTGTGTGTAGTGCTATGTCATTTTATCACATGTACACATATGCATTTAAACACCACCATAATCAAGAGGCAGAACTATTCCTTCACTACAAATGATCTCCTTCCTCTACTCCTTTATTGTCATATCTACTTCCCTGAGGTCTTCTTTCCCTAATACCTGCTAACCATCAGTATGTTGTCCATCTCTACAATTTTATTATTTTGAGACTATTATATAAATGAGATCATACAGTATGTGACCTTTTAAGATTCTCTTTTGTCATTCAGCAAAATGCCTTTGAGAGACATCCAAGTTACTTTTTTTTTTTAAGTAAGAATTCTTCATTTATTTATTTATTTTTTATTGCATTTTAGGTTTTGGGGTACATGTGAACATGCAAGATTGTTGCATAGATACACACATGGCAGTGTGGTTTGCTGCCTTCCGTCCCCTCACCTGTATCTGTCATTTCTCCCCATGCTATCTCTTCCCACCTCCTCACCCCTCCGCCCCTCCCCATTTCCCCCCAACGGACCCCAGTGTGTAGTGCTCCCCTCCCTGTGTCCATGTGTTCTCATTGTTCAACACCCGCCTATGAGTGAGAATATATGGTGTTTGATTTTCTGCTCTTGTGTCAGTTTGCTGAGAATGATGGTTTCCAGGTTCACCCATGTCCCTACAAAGGACATGAACTCATCGTTTTTGATGGCTGCGTAATATACCATGGTGTATATGTACCACATTTTCCCTATCCAGTCTATCATCGTTGGGCATTTGGGTTGGTTCCAGGTCTTTGCTATTGTAAACAGTGCTGCAATGAACATTCGTGTGCACGTGTCCTTGTAGTAGAATGATTTATAATCCTTTGGATATATACCCAGTAATGGGATTGCTGGGTCAAATGGGATTTCTATTTTTAGGTCCTTGAGGAATTGCCACATTGTCTTTCACAATGGTTGAATTAATTTACATTCCCACCAACAGTGTAAAAGTGTTCCTATTTCTCCACATCCTCTCCAGCATCTGTTGTTTCCCGATTTTTTTAATGATCGCCATTCTTACTGGTGTGAGATGGTATCTCAATGTGGTTTTGATTTGCCTTTCTCTGATGACCAGTGATGATGAGCATTTTTTCATATGTTTGTTGGCCTCCTGTATGTCTTCTTTTGTAAAGTATCTGTTCATATCCTTCGCCCATTTTTGAATGGGCTTGTTTGTTTTTTTCTTGTAGATCTGCTTTGGTTCTTTGTAAATTCTGGATATCAGCCCCTTGTCAGATGGGTAGGCTGCAAAAATTTTTTCCCATTCTGTTGGTTGCCGATTCACTCTACTGACTGTTTCTTTTGCCGTGCAGAAGCTGTGGAGTTTGATTAGGTCCCATTTGTCTATTTTGGCTTTAAAGTCTATTTTATCAGAGATGAGAATTGCAACTCCTGCCTTTTTTTGCTCTCCATTTGCTTGGTAGATCTTCCTCCATCCCTTTATTTTGAGCCTTTGTGTATCCTTGCATGTAAGATGGGTTTCCTGGATACAGCACACTGATGGGTTTTGGCTTTTTATCCAATTTGCCAGTCTGTGTCTTTTGATTGGGGCATTTAGTCCATTTACATTTAGGGATAGTATTGTTATGTGTGAATTTGATGCTGTCATTTTGATGCTACCTGGCTGTTTTGTTGGTTAGTTGATGCAGATTCTTGATTGTGTTGATGCTCTTTTACCATTTGGTATGTTTTTGGAGTGGCTGGTACTGGTTGTTCCTTTATATGTGTAGAGCCTCTTTCAGGAGTTCTTGTAGAGCAGGTTTGGTGGTGATGAAATCTCTGAGTGCTTGCTTGTTCACAAAAGATTTTATTTTTCATTCACTTATGAAGCTTAGTTTGGCTGGATAGGAGATTCTGGGTTGAAAGTTCTTTTCTTTAAGGATGTTGAATATTGGCCCGCAATCTCTTCTGGCTTGTAGGGTTTCTGCTGAGAGATCTGCTGTGAGTCTAATGGGCTTCCCTTTGTGGGTAACCCGACCTTTCTCTCTGGCTGCCCTTAGCATTTTCTCTTTCATTTAGCCGACGGCTGGGTTGTAGACGGCATAGTTCAGCAGGATCCTCCTCATGCTCTCCACGTTGGGATTGTCGTCCCCTCGGAAGAACTGGTTGCTACGATCGGTCCGGACCACGTCTTTGTCCACGGTGAACTGCACGTTGCGCCAGAACGCTCTGTGCTCCTCGGGGGTCATGGAGAACTTCCTCCGCTGGATGTCAGAGTATTCCTTCCGCTTCTGCAGCCGCAGCGCCTCCCGCTCCTCCGATGTGGACTGGTGGCTGTAATAGCACAGCAGGAAGGGCCAGACCTCCCCCCGGATTGACACATCAATGCCGCCAAAGAAAATGGCCTTCCGAAGCTTGTACTCCTCCTCCACCTGGCCCAGCTTGTTCAGGTGGTTGAGCCAGGCAGAGACGTCCAGCCTCTTGTACATGCTCTCCTCCGGGTGGGTCTCAGAGGACGGCAGCTTGGGGCGGCGGATGGAAAACTGCATGCAGGTCTTTTCGGGGGCGACCTGGTCTTGGAGCTGCATCTCGGTGCAGTATTGCCACTGCTGGAACACGTCGGACAGCTTGTCCAGGCCTCCGTGGTGGAAGTGGAAGACCTTGTACTGGCTCTCCCTGCTGGCGATGACCAGCTGGCCACTGGTGCAGGCCTCATCGCTGAAGAAAAGGCGGAGGGAGCGCATGTGGCCCAGGTCCACGTGGAACACGCCACAGATCTGCTCCAGGGCGCACACTCGCTGTGGCTCGTCCCAGCGCGGGGTCTGCAGGAGGCCGTTGCTGTCCGGGAAGCGCAGGCTGGTGTCGGAGCTGGACCGGGGGGCTGCTGTCGCTTTCCAGAAACACAGAGCCACGGTTCTCGGCCAGCGCTGCACTGATGGGTGAGAGGCAGAAGGGCGAGAAGAAGGCGTCCGAGTCCGAGTTGAAGGAGCTGTCCCTGCTCACGCCATCCGCGGACAGCTCCAGGGAGCCATCCTCCTCCCCGGCCTCAGGCCGCGGCTTCTGCCCCTCCTCGGCGCCGTCCTGCGAACTGACTGTCGACAAGATCCCGGAGGGGCTGCGGGCAGGCTGCGAGGCCAGCCGGGCACCGTCCACCCACAAGCCCTGCGCCAGCTTCTCCTCGTCCTCCGGCGCAGGGCTGGCCAGCACGCCGTCCGGCACGCTTGGGCCACCACCAGGATGTCCTCATCTTTGGGGGTCAGGGTGGGCCGCAGCTCCATGGGGGAGGGCTGGTGGGAGGCCCCCGAGCTCCGGGCACGCCGGGCCCCGAGGGCGGGGCGCCTTGCGGACGGGGGAGCTCTCCGGCGTGATGTAGCGCAGGGCCTCCTCGTCCTGCCTCTGGATGCGAGAGTTGGGGACCCATGCCAGGATGAGGGTGGCTCCCAGCATCTCATCCTTCTCCATGTACAGGCACAGGTAACCTGGGTGGTGCTCCCCCAGCCCCTGCAGCCTCTCCGGGGGATGCACGCAGACATTGTTCTTGGAGTAGATGATCTCGCCATCCAGGATGGAGGGGGACCCGCTGCCAGCCGGGGTGAGGGTCAGGAGGTCCGAGGCTTTGGAGGAGGCCCGGCGAAGGAGGCGGCCCAGAGACATTGCCGGGCAAGTGTTTCCATCCTCCGCACGCTTCGGCTCAGGCGGGGCACGTCAAGATCTGCCCGGGTCCCGCTGCCGGGGCCAGATTCGCGCCGGCTCTCAGCCGCCACCGTCGCTTCCGCCGCTGCCGCCGCCAGTTCCAAGTTACTTTTCACTGCTCATCAGCATTGCATGATATGGGTGTATCACAGTTTAACCATTGACCTAATAAGATATTTTAGTTGGGACTTTTGGGATATTACAAAGAAAGCTTCTATGAACAACTGTGTACAAGTTTCTGTGTGGACATGAGCTTTCATTTCTCTGTGATGCCCAGGAGTTTAATTGCCAGGTTGTATGGTAACTACATGTTTAGTTTTTAAGATATTGCCAAAATACTTTTTAGAGTGAGTACAAATCTTTTACTTTTTAGAATGGTACAAAATACTGTACCATTTCATATTCCTGCCAACAATGTATGAGATATCCTGTTCCCACACATCTTTGTCAGCATTTCGACATCATTACTGTTTTTAAATTTTAGCCATCCCAGTAAGTTTATAGTGATATCTTGTGGTTTTAATATGCATTTCCCTAATAGTCGTGAAGTCAGTGTTGATCAACTTTCCATGTGCTTATTTGCTATTTGTTTATCCTGTCTGATGAAATGACTATTCTTTTGTCCGTATTCTAACTGGATTGTTAGGGTTTTTTTCTTTATTTTAAACATAGAGTTTTGAGAGTCTTTTTATGTATTTCAGATACAAGTCATTTGCTGGATTTGTAATTTGCAAATATTTTCTCCCAGTTTTATTTTAATTCCCTTAACAAGGTCTTTCACAAACAAAAGTTTTAAATTTTGATGGGGCCCAATTTATCAGGTTTTTATTTTATGGATCATGCTGTCGGTGGCACATCTGAGAACTCATTTCTTAGCCCTAGCTCCCCAGTTTCTCCCACAGATTTGAAAGACTTTGTAGTTTTACATCTTACATTTTAGTCCATAAGTAATTTTGTGTTAATTTTTGTATGAAGTATAAGGTTTAAATCACAATTCATTTTTTGCCTGTGGATATCCAACTGCTCCAGCACATGTTAAAAAAAACAATTCTACCTCTATTGAATTATTGTTACATCTCTGTCAAAAATCAATTGGTGTACTTGTGTAGAGCTATTTCTGTGCTATCCATCTATATGACTATCTCTCTGAAAATAACAGTCTTGAATACTGTGGCTATGTGACTTGAAATCAAGTAGTGATTTCTCTTACTTTATTATTTTTCAATTTTTTTCTAGTTCCTTTATCTTTCCATTTTAAAAAATTCTCCATTTCTAAATTTTAGAATCATCTCATTTATATTTATAAAAAATCATGCTCAACTTTTCATAGGAATTGCATTAAATTTATATATCAACTAGAAGAGAATGACATTTTTACTATGTTGTGTCTAAATCAATGGATAAGGTTATGCCTCTCCAGTTTTTAGGCCTTCTTTCATCATTAGTTTATGATTTTCAGTTCACATATCCTGCATATATTTTGTTAAGTTTATAAACTTTTTCATATACTTTATAAGTATTTTTACAGATTTATATATTTTACATATATTTACAGTGTATTTTTCTGTATTTTAATTTTGGGGGGCAATCTAGTTTGGTGTCAGGTTAATACTGACTTCATAAAATGAGTTGGAAAGTCTTCCCTCCTCTTCTAGTTTTCAGGAGCATGTAAAATTAGTGTTATTTAAATGTTCAGTAGAAATCTCCAGTGGAGACATCTGGACATGGATATTTCTTTTTCAAGAGCTTTCAAATAATGAATTAAATATTTTTAGTTGTTATAGGACTATTCTATTATTTATTTCATATTAGCTGATTTTGGTAGTTTGTGGTTTTGGGGAAATTAATCCATTTCTCCTAAGTTGCCAAATTTTGAGCATAAAGTTGTTTGTAATACTCCCTCCCTTATTATCTCTTAAATGGCCTTAGGATCAGCAGTGACATCTCAGTACATTCCAGATACTGATGTTTACATCTTCTTTCTTTTTATCTTTTGATAGTCTTGTTAGAAGTTTATCAATTTTATTGAAATTTTCAAAGAACTGGCTTTTGGCTTCATGGATTTTATTTGCTTGTTTTCAGTTACATTGATTTCTGTTCTTTATTATTGCCTTCTTTCTGCTTGCTTTTAGCTCAGTTTGGTTGGCTTTAAAATTATACATTAAATCTTTTTAATGGTTATAGAACTATTCTGATTATTCTATTTTTGTTGAGTTGTAGTTTTATGCTATTGAGAACGATCCCCTTTTCTAATGTAACCATTTAGTGCTATAAATACTTATCAGCACTTCTTTAGCTGCATCCCACAAATTTTAATGTGTTGTATTTTCATTCATTTATGTGTGTATTACTTTTAATTTCTGCCAAGACTTTTTCTTGAACCATAAATTTAAGTGTGCTGTGTAATTCCCAAGTATCTGGAAATTCTGTTGTCTTTTATTGATTTCTAGTTAGATTAATTTCTGGTCAGAAAACATACATTGTCTTATTTCATTCCTCTTCAATTTGGTCAGATTTGCTATATATAATCTATTTTTGCAAATCTTCCATAGATGCTTGAAAAAAATGTATATTCTGCTATCGTTGGTACAGTTCTCTATGAATGTCAACTCAATCCTGTTGGTTGTTGGTGCTGTTTAGTTACAAAATAATCCAACTACCTCATTTTCAAATGAAATCTCTTAGTCTAAAAAAGATTAAACAGTGTGGCAACATGTTTAAGCCAAAACCACACCTAGAGTCCTGAATTTCCAGTCTAGAACACCATTTAACACACTATATCTACTTAAGCAATGAGGAACATACTACTAAATACTTAGCTACGTCTTAATCAAATATGTACTGCCAAAATAAGAGATTAAGAAATTGGGGATAATAGCTTGTAAACTACAAATAATCATTATCCGAATATAGTTTTTTAATAATGCAGGAATTTTCCTAGACCAAACAATCTTTAAGGAAACTGTCACAATGACATGCTTAACATACCCAAGCACAAAACGGTACAAACACATTAAAAACAACATAGAGATTATGATTCCCACAGCTCCTTTTCATTCATGCAAATCACTTTCTATTTCCCACTGTGAGCTAATACTTGCGACCCTTCCACAAAATGCCTGAGAAGTGTGCAAAACCTCCAGTTACAGAGGCTTCTTTCAAAGTGATCCATTCTACTCTGTAGTTCTCCCCTTTAAGTACATTAATGGCAAAATGTGAAAGCTGCTAAAATTTTCTCCGGAAACAAATTTCAGGCAGTACTCATTGAGACAAATCTGTTTCCTTTCATCTGATTCTCCAACCTACCAAATCAAAACTTCTTATGCCTTAAAATAATACTTACCCAACACCAAGAATGTGTTCACCATGCTTGGTGAAGTTTTCCTGACATTCGGTCTTACTTCCCACACGGAGACGGTTAACTTGACTACATAAATTCTGGAGAAAAGGCAGCAACTCAGAGTTAGGTATATTTGAGTTGTCACTTGCTTTCTTTGGTAAGAAACAAGACATTGCATTTTTAAGATCATTTTCAAGAGGGGAATGGTTTTGAGGCACAATTTTACACTCATCAAGCTTTGTAGAATTCTCTCCACCAGGTAGCTGTGAACTTTTTTCAATGTAAGTTTGTAAGTTTTCAGTCACGTTCCCAGATGTCAATCCAGTTCTAAAAGGAAAAGGTGTGGAGGATGACTTGTCTAAGGATCCTAAGGTAGCTGAGGATTGTAGTCCAAGCATGTGCTTGTATCCAGTATTGGCCAACACCGAATGAAGCTGCTCTCCAATGGGACTACAATTCTAAACAAAGCAAACAACTAAATGTTAATATTAATAATACTGACAGCTAACTTTTGGAGTAATTACTATGAGTCAGGCACATATATTGTTTCATTTGATCCTCAAAAGATCCTTATGAAGTAGGCTACTATTACTATACCAACATTAAGTTGAGGAGATCAAGGCTAAAGATATCTAGCCAAGGTAACCAGCCAGTAAGTGGCAGAATTGGGACATGAACACAGGCCACTTAACTCCACAGTCATGACTTTCAATCATTTCACTGTAGCTTTTCCCAAAAGATTAAATAAATACTAGTATGAATAGTCAAATTGCACTGACACATTTTAATGTTTCCACTACAAATGTCTGTTTAATTTATAATAAAATGTACTACTCTCAACTGAGTCACAAGAACTGATACATTTCTTAAAATTCAATTATATTATTCCCAACTGTCAAAATATGGTAAGTTATTCATGTTTACCTAGTCATATTTTTTTGCAATGAATTTTTCCTGGAAACTACACAGATTGTTGCACTATTTAAAGTTAGATGCTCTATGGGTACATTTGTGACAAATTCTTTTTTTTAAGACGGAGTTTCACCCTTGTTATCCAGGCTGGAGGGCAATGGGGTGATCTCGGCTCGCCACAACCTCCACCTCCCAGGTTCAAGCAATTCTCCTGCCTCAGCCTCCCAAGTACCTGGGATTACAGGCAGGTGCCACCATGCCTGGCTAATTTTTTGTACTTAAGTGTGACATTTTCAATGACTGAAATGAGCTACTTCTGGCTGTGTTTGCTTTAAGAATTTCCAAGATAATGAGAGTTACGTTTTGCAACCTTGTTTCAACTGTTTATGCAGTATTATTTCCTGAGAAGATTCTGGCTTATCTTGAAAGGATGATTACAATATCTCCCTTTTACATTCTTTAATTTTTCCATTAGATTAAAAACAAACAAACAAACAAACAAACAAACAAACAAACAAAACCTCTAGCCTAACTAAGTCTTAAGGCATATGGCTCTACCCTAAATTCAAAACATAAAAGTCTACTATATATTCTTATCAGGGGATATCATCCCACACTTATGGCTGTTCAACAGCTGGTGAAACACAGACTGAAAAAGCAATATGCAAATTAGCTGAAAAGCTCAGTTGATATAGATATTCTAAAACGTTATTACTAGACTAAACCAGAACAACATGCATTTATTCAACAAATATTTACCAGAAATCTACTCTGTGTTAGGTATTGTTTTAAGCACTGGATAACAGCAGTGAACAAAATAAATTAAAATCCCTGACCTCACAGAGCTTATATGACAGGGGAGCAAAGAGACACAAACTACAAAAGGAAAAAGGGGAAAGAAAACAAAGTGAGAGAAAGAAAAAGACAGAAAAAGAGAAAAAGTGAAGGAAGAAAGGAGAGAAAGAAAAGAAAGAAAAAGTGTACCATGAAGTGGAGATGGTGATAAATAATTGAGCGAAAAATAGAGCAGGAAAGAGGAGTAACAAGGGCCAGAGAAGCTGGGGGAAGATTTGTAATGTCAGGTCCCCATCTAACTTTTTACTGAATGGCACTTTGGAAAAGTGCTCTTAATAGAGAAATGTTAACCTATTTTAAGTGTATCTTGTTTCATAAAATGCAAGTTTTGAATAAATCTGAATATTTTAATATTCCTGGAACAATATGAATTATATATAATTATAAAATGTTAACACTGGACAATTCCCCATAAGCTCAAAGAAGTTTTATTCAGTCATAACAGAAAGCCCCTTTATCTTTCTATGACACTTCAAAACAAAATGTACAATGGCAAACTGACAAACCTACACTAAAAGTAATAATATTTACACTACAGTCAATGTCAAAAATATGGGTGAACATTAAGTGGGCAGAACATTTAAACAGAAAAATCTAAATATAAAGGTATTTGCTATGTAAATTTTTCTTTTCTGACATATAATATTCTGTTTATAGGAATTCACTGATTATAAAAATCAGTCATTGGTTAAAATGTAAAATAGTACAGCAGTGATGAAAAGCAGTATGCAGTCAACTCAAAAAATTAAAAACAGAACTACCATATGACCTAACAATCCCACTTCTGAGCATATATCCAAAAGAATTAAAATCAGGATCTCAAAAAGATTTGCACTCCCATGTTCATTGCAGCAGTACTCACAACAGCCAAGATACAGAAACAACCAAAATGTCTATTGACTGATGGATTAATCAAGAAAATGAAATATCATTGAATATCATACAATGAAATACCATTCAGCCTTTGAGAAGAAGAATATTTTGTCATGTGACAATATGATCAATTTAGAAGACATGCTAAGTGAAATAAACCAGGCACAGAAGAATAAATAATGCATGATTCCACTCACATGACGTATCTAAAATAGTTAAACTCAGAAACAGAGAGTAGAATGGTGGGAAGGAGAAATGAGGAACTGCTATTCAATGGGTATAAAGTTACAGCTTTACAAGATGAATCTGTTTTAGAGACCTTCTGTATAACAATGTCCATAGTTAACAATACCATATTATACATTAAATTCACAGATGTTTATATGCCACTACAGGAAATGAAGAAATCCCAGGTGCTTGGTAGCTATTCCTCTACTTGTTTTTATGTGAGCTTCCACTGCTAATGTGCTATTAAAACTTTTGAAGAAACTTAACTATGCATGACTAGGTAACTGAATAATATTCATAAAATCAGAGAAAGGTGTATTTATTGATTAGTAAAAGGTCTGTGATGTCCTTTCAAGTGAAAAATGTTCCTGAGCAACATACGCAGTATGAAAGCATTTAGAGAGAACTGTGTCCATATACTTACACACGGACATGTGTATGTGCATATGTATAACTACATATACTGTATATACACACAACAGAGATTTCTGAAAAATTAATAGTTTATCTTTGAATATACTGTAGGATTTAGGAAAGTATGAATTTCCTATATTTTTTTATTTTTTTTATATCACCTTTAATTATCAGAAAGAAATTAAACAATAAAGCCATTTTTATTTTGAAGGAGAAAAAAGCAAGAGTATAACTCCTGAATAACCGAATATGTTTTCTCTGAGAAAATGGGGCATATCCTTTCATTCAGATAACATTAAATGACAACCATATGCTACACCCTTTGATATAGAATTCATATTCAAGTATTCTAAACTGCTAGAGCAAAAGCAAATCAAAGCCAGTAACTTAACTTCAAATACAAGGAAATAAAAAATAACCTTAATATTTATTGAGAAATCGCAAAGGTTTGTATTGTATTTCAGACTCACAAAGCTCGGAGTGTTGAATTTTAATAGAACGTCCAAGAAAACAAGTAATCCCAAGGCACAGGTTAGTCAGAGAGAATCCAAAACTTCTGAGGTCCCTCCTCTCCCCCAAGAGAAGTCCTGCCCAAACAACATGTGTGATCACACCACTTACACAGAAGGAGTTAATCTGGTTATGAAACATCCCCATTTTATGTGCAGAAAGTTACACAGCTTATATGACATTTTCTACACCTTAGAATGTATAGAGACTAGTTTGTCATCAATAAGCAATCCTAGAGAACCAAGTACATCCTATAAGAACCACTCCATACATAAGGACTTTTTTTACTAGGAAGAAAGTCTTCCATTAACATGTTTAAAGGACACAGAACTGTTCCCCAGGGTGTCCCAGAAATACCCCTGCATTAGTGGTGAGAAGAAAGCAAGTAATAGCACAGTATACATAGGAGTACCCCAAGAGTGCTGGCCGAGGATGACAGTGGGGCCTTATGTATTGCTACACGCATTAAAAACTCTAGAAGGATACATGCCAAACTGTTAGCTGTGTATCCTCTGGGGTACAGAATGACAACCGGAAAAAAAATTTTAATTTTTGCCTAACACTTCTGTATTGTTTGAAATTTATGGCCAAGAAAAATTATTTGTAAATAAAACTATAAAAATGTAAAGACATGGCCAAAATAAAAATATATCTAGTTTCATTTTTTCCTAAAGTCAGGTTTTTAAAATAGAGAAACCAGACAGTAAACTAATTAATATACTCTAGTAGTTTCCAAAATATGTTCACAAACAATTGCTTCCTTTTTAAAAACTTCCACTAAATGAGTTACTATCAAACTACAATGTACATAAAACTCACTTAGGCATGACTGTTTAAAACACTGATTCCTGGACCCTACCCGCTGGGATTGGGTAGGTAGTGAGGGCCAGGAATCAGTATTTTGAAGACATTCCAAAGGATTCTGACACAGGTGTTCAATGGATTATACTTGAAAAAATACACTGCCCTAAACATTCTCTTAACAAAGCTCAAATCTCACAAGCTTGACAAATTATTTAATTATCCTCAACATTCTTTTATACAAGTATCTTCTAATTTCCTCTTTATCTCTAAACTTGAAGAAAAACAAACAAAACCAAAAAAAACATGTGCACTTAGTAACTTCACATCCCAAATACCCAGTTACAAATCCCTCACAATCTGGTTTACATCTCATCACTATTCAAACTTACTCCCTGAGGATCTCCAAGAAAGAGTTGATCATTCCAATAGGTGTGTGTGTGTATATATATATGTATATATGTGTGTATGTATATATATATATATATATATATATATATATATATATATATATATGGAGAGAGAGAGAGAGAGGGGTATGTGTCACTTGACAATGTTTTGGTCCACAGTGAGGTATGTGTCACTCGACAACGTTTTGGTCCACAATGGATCCCATATATAACCCATTATAATCATGTGGTCACATAAAATTATAATGGAGCTAAAAAATTCCAGTCGCCACGTGGCATCATAGTAACACATTACTCACGTTTGTGGCAATATTGTTGTATACCAACCTATTGCACTGCCAGTCATGTAAAAGCACTGCATATACAATTATGTACATTTTATACCACTTAGTAATAATAATCAATGACTATGTTGCTTATGTATTTACTATACCATACTTTTAGCCTTTTTTTTTTTTTTTTTTTGAGACGGAGTTTTGCTCTTGTTACCCAGGCTGGAGTGCAATGGCGCGATCTCAGCTCACCGCAACCTCCGCCTCCCGGGTTCAGGCAATTCTTCTGCCTCAGCCTCCTGAGTAGCTGGGATTACAGGCACACGCCACCATGCCCAGCTAATTTTTTTTGTATTTTTGGTAGAGACGGGGTTTCACCATGTTGACCAGGATGGTCTCGATCTCTTGACCTCGTGATCCACCCGCCTCGGCCTCCCAAAGTGCTGGGATTACAGGCTTGAGCCACCGCGCCCGGCACTTTTAGCCTTAAAGTATATTCCTTCTGCTTATATATTTTAAAAGTTAACTGTAAAACCACCTCAAGCAGGTCCTTCAGAAGGTCTTACAGAAGAAGGCATCGTTATTATATGAGATGACAGCTCTGTGCGTATTACTGTCCCTGAAGACCTTCCAGTGGGACAAGATATGGAGATGGAAGATGGTGATATTTATGATCCTGACCCTATGTAGGCCTAGGCTAATGTGTGTGTTTGTTCTTTGTTTTTAGCAAAAAAGTTTAAAAATTTAAAAAAAATTAAATACAAAATAAGCTTATAGAACAAGGATATAAAGAAACAAAATACATTTGTACAGCTATACGATGAGTTTGTGTTTTAAGCTAAGTATTACTACAAAAGAGTAAAAAAGTTTTTTAAAATTTAAGTTTATAAAGTTAAAAAGTTAAAATAGGCCAGGCATGGTGGCTCACACCTGTCATCCCAGCACTTTGGGAGGCCAAGGTGGGAGGATCACCTGAGAACCTGGAGTTTGAGACCAGCTTGGCCAACATGGCGAAACAGCATTTCTACTAAAAATACAAAAATCAGCTGGGTGTTGTAGCATACACCTGTAATTCCAGCTACTCGGGAGGCTGAGGTAAGAGATTTGTTTGAACCCAGGAGGCAGAGGTTGCAGTGTGCTGAGATTGCACCATTGCACTCCAGCCTGGGCAACAGAGCAAGACTTCGTCTCAAAAAAAGAAAAAAAAAAGAAAAAAAAAAGTTACAATAAGCTAAGGTTGATTTATTATTGAAAAATGAAAACGTCTTAAAAACTTTAGCATAGCCTAAAAGTAGAGTGTTTATAAAGTCTACAGTAGTGTACAATAATGTTCTAGGCCTTCATATTCAGTTACTGACTCACCTAGAGTAACTTCTAGTTCTGCAAGCTCAGTTCACATTAAGTGCTGTATACAGGCATGCCATTTTTTTATCTTGTATATTTTTACTGTACTTTCCTATGTTTAGATACACATATCCTTACCATTATGGTATAACCGCCTAGAGTATTCTGTAAAGTAACATGTACAGGTTTGTAACCTAGGTATATAGTAGGCTACATGATCTAGGTTTCTCCAGGTACACACTATTGTTTCACAACCATGAAATCCCCTAATCACCTATGTTCTCAGAACATATCCCCACTGTGAATTGACACATGACTGTGTATATATATGTATACTTGGAGCCATAAACAAGACAGATAAGTCTCTGTTTGCCTGAGCTTATACTTCAGTGAGATAACCATGCAACCAATATAAAAACAACAACAAAGTGGTCAAAAATGCACTGATGAAACTATGATATGGATCTGGAGGTACATGCTACTTTAAACTGGTTGGCTAAGAAAGGTGTCATTAAAGATGTAACATTAAAATGAGATTTGAATAAGAAAAATGCAGATACAGAAGTATCTCAGGGAGGGGGTTCTGGCCACAGAGAACAGTTATGAGTGCAAAGGTCTTGAGGTGGGAACATATTTAGATATTTATGGAATACACACATCAGAATGTTTGGAGCAAGCCACCCAAGGAAACATGGCAGGAGATGAAGTTGAGAAGGCAAGCAGGGCCTACCTTTTAGAGACCAAAGATTAATTCTAAGTACAAAGGGAGGCAAGCAGTCAAGGGGCTTTACATAGGAGAAGGATAAGATCCAATTATCCCCTGAGGTCATTCTCAGTACATTGCAGAGAATGGATTGTAGCAGAGCAGGAGGACCAGTCAGGAACCTCCTGAGGTACCCAGGTGAAATCATGGTGTGGGAGGAAGAAAAGTAAAAGAAAATTTCCATCTTTTTTGAAATTCTTCTTTCTGTGGTTTCCGTATCTTCAGCTCTCTTGGTTCTCTTAACTCAGCATAATATAATACTGGTACTACATTAATATTTGTGAACCATACAACATCCACAAGGAGTTGTTTACTTGCATTATTTATTTTAAATTTTCACAGGAATTCTGTGATCATTACAGTGCTATCATTTAGATTTTGTACATGAGGAATTCATACTGAAAAAAATATGAATCAACTTGCCATAGGATGCAGAACTAAGAAAAGGCAGGATAAGAGCTTGAAGTCACTTCGCCTGACAGCGAATCCTTTCTCTTGCTACTGTATCACAGTGCTTTACTCTACATTTCTGGTTCCTTTTTCCTCTTCCTATATCTTTACAAATGCAGCTACTCTTCAAGGGTCTTTCTTCCTTGCTTCAGTCCCCAGCTTCACCACACTCCCTGTTAGCTACTGTGGATGTAACTCTAAACTCCCCTTGCAGCCACTGAAGGTTCATTCCATTTCTCATAACCCTCTGTTTCCAGATGTTTGCAACATCCTACAATGGAATGTCTTGTTCACAGCTAAAACTCAATATGCCAAAATGAAATTCCCTTTCCGCCAAGCATCCTCCTCCTTTGGGCTGCATTTATATTATTAGTATTGCCATCCTTAAAGCCTCAATTTCATGTTTAACTTGATTTTTCTATCATAATACCAGGATTAAGTTAGTTGTCAAGTCCCAATAGCTCCACTGTTTTAGCATCTCACAATCCAGCATTATGTTACTATGTCTAATCTTGGACCCTCATTCATTCTCATCTGGATGAGGGGAATAACGTGCAGCTGGTCTTCTCTTTGTACTTTCTTCAGGTTCTCCTTACACATGACAGTGGCTTAAAATTTCTTGAAAAATAAGTCAAAAACATCTACAAATTTAAAGTAGCATTCAAAGCTCTTTATGATCTGGCTGAAATCTACTTTAAACTTCCCCTTACTTTTTTGCTTCAGAGAAATGAACTACTACTATTCATTTCCCAGCTATATCAAATTCTTCTAGCATTGAAGATTTTAGTCACCTTATTTTTTGTCTGAAATGGCTTTCTTCCAAATTTACTTGCCTAATCCCACCCTTGGTTTTAAAGGCCTAGATAATTTACCACTTTCTTTAACGAGCCTTTCCTTCTTAGTATTTTTATCATTCCCCACTTACATGCTCCAGAATGTAAAAATTCTTAAAGACAGACTACAAACTAACTGATCATCTTTGCACACTCAAAATTGTTCAAACCAGTGCCTTGGTCATTGCAAAAAAAACAAACAAAAAAAAAACAACTTGCTGAATGAATTCATAAAAAGTGTGAAAATTTGTAGTCAAAACACTTTGTAGAAGGGCAAATCTATAAAGATGTTAACTTCTATAAAACTAAAAGATAACAGTTAAGTCAGTATAAAAGAAAAATTTTAAGTCACTACATTTCTTTACTAAAAGCAATCATTTTGCAATCTTTAATGGTATCTGGAAAGAAATCCATTTCTACTTACCCGCTGCTGAAATCTAACCATATCCATCAACTGCTGAGCTCCAGGAGATAACTTTGACCCCATGGACTCCATCATGGTTTGGACTTTGTGAAGGTCTATCCTTGATCCTAGAGCAGGAGAACTTGTTGAAGAACTTGCCAACACTGATCTCATGTGTACCACAACTTTACTGATGAACACACACTGCCTTTCGCCAAAGGAGAGCAACTATTACAAAACAAAAGTCCAGAAAATAATGATATTAAAAACAATCATCATTTAAGGTCACTTCTTGGTATCACCCAAACAAGAGCGAAGTATTCAAGAATCTAAAAATTAATTTCAAGTATATTTTAAAGTCTTCTCAACACTATTTATCGAGGTTGAGATGAACTATTTAAATAAAAAGTCCTTTCAAAAATTAAGACTTCATGTAAAGTAACAAATGGAGTAGTTAAATGAATGTTAACCTATTTAAAGAACTAAAAATAAAATAGTAGTCTCTCTTTATCTGTGGAGAATGTGTTCTAAGACCTCCAGAGGCTCCCTGAAACTGTATATAGTACCAACCCCTATATTTTTTCCCAAACATACATACATACCTATGATAAAGTTTAATTTATAAATTAGGTATAGTAAGAGCTTAATAAAATAGAATAATTATGACAACATAATAAAACTTAGGTGAATGGGGTCGCCTCTCTCTAAATCTTACTATGTGATACTTAGCCTTCTTGTAATGATGTGACATGATACAATGCCTACATAATGAGATGAAGTGAGGCAAATGGCATAGGCATTGTAACATAGCACTGGGCTACTCTTGACCTTCTGATAATACATTCGCCTAACAAGTGGCTAATGAGCTATAACATATACAGCAGGGACACACTAGACAAAAGGATGATTCATGTTCCAGGCAGAACGGAGCAGGATGGCAATAGATTTCATCACACTATTCAGAACAAAGCACAATTTAAAACTTATGAATTGCTTATTTCTGAAAATTTCCATTTAATATTTTTGGACCGTGGTTGATGGTGGGTAATGGAAACTGTGGAAAGTAAAACTGCAGATAAGGGGGAACTACTATAACCAATCTGAGACCTTAACATGCCACAGCTTGCTACTTAACACAAAACAAGGTTGTCCAGACGCCCACACAAAAGGTTTACTGAAATAATAAGTAAAATTCAATCCTTCCAAATTCAGAACTATAAGCGAATATCAAAATGATGTAATACAGCTTGCTGGACTATACATAGAAATAGAGTTAGTTCAAGGGTGATAAAAGGACACTCAATTAGTAAAGGTCCAGCTTGAAACCTAGCTCTTCTGGCTTCTATCCCAGTAGTTTATCGAACATTTTATCCTGTCCATATCACTGAAACAAGAGACATTTTATGTGTGATACAGACAACAGAGTAGCAAAATGGAAAGGGAATGGGCTTCAGAATCAGACAAACCTGAGTTTAAATTGTGACTCTAGAACTTACAACCTGTGTGACTCTGGGCAAATACTAAATCTGAGTCAGGATTAAAATAAGAGAAGATAGTAACAATGATTTCACATAGTCGTGAGGATTATATGTTAAAATTTCCAGTAGCTACCACTAAGTAAGTGTTCAAAAACCTGTATCGGTAACCATTTTTTTATTTGAACTTCCATATACTATTGCCTCAGAACAAGCTTTCGTATCAACCCTAGAGTCTCCCTGAAATAACCCTTGGTGTTTCCATGTACTTCCATAGAACAGTTAAAAAAAAAATTCACCTTCAGAGACACACAAAGATCCACATGTCGCACAAGGACAGAGGTCAATACAGACTCATGATCCAAGAACTCTTGAGTGTTGAAAAGATGTAAGTGTCTTCAACATTTTAAGGAAATATCCTATTGACCTCCCACCTCTCAACCTATTATCCCCCTTTCTCTTTTTAACCCCATAGCCTTTTCCAACATTGAATGTAGTATTTGTTTTACTAAGTGAGTTTCCTTATTGTCTGTCTTGCCCCTACTAGAAAGAATACAAGCAATATAAGGGAAGACATCAGTTTATTTTCTTATTACTAATTCCTAAATGCCTGGTATAGTACCTGACATTAAGAAGCACTCAAACCTTTGTTGAATGAATACATCACTTTACTTGAATGGCTTTCGAATCTATTTAATATATACTACCCAAAACAACATCTTGGGATAATTAGTTCTGTGAGTTTGCTATCTGCTTGTGAAAATCACTTATTTTTCCTGATTGTAAAAATAAGTTTCAATCTTCTATAAGTAATGATAGTAAGTACAGAATTTTAGAGATAAAAAGAGTCCAAGAATTTTCTTCAGCTCCCTAATTTTAACCATGAAACAGGTCCAAGATCTGCCCAAGACTAATCCACTAGTCCGCAACAGAACTGAATTAACATTCAGGGCTTAAGACTTTCAACTCATTACCTTATCCCCAGACTCTGAAGACATCAGTAACAATTATCTTTTTTTTTGTTTGTTTGTTTTTTTTGTTTTTTTTGTTTTTTTTGAGACGGAGTTTCGCTCTTGGTACCCAGGCTGGAGTGCAATGGCGCGATCTCGGCTCACCACAACCTCCGCCTCCTGGGTTCAGGCAATTCTCCTGTCTCAGCCTCCTGAGTAGCTGGGATTACAGGCACGCGCCACCACGCCCAGCTAATTTTTTGTATTTTTAGTAGAGACGGGGTTTCACCATGTTGACCAGGATGGTCTCGATCTCTCGACCTCGTGATCCACCCGCCTCGGCCTCCCAAAGTGCTGGGATTACAGGCTTGAGCCACCGCGCCCGGCCAGTAACAATTATCTTAATATTTTTCATGCTGAAGACAATAGTCCAATCCTTTTAACATATTGGTTCTCTTGCTTGAAACTTCTCTAATTTCATTCTTTTATAAATGAGGCCAAAACTGCTTATGGGTTTTTGCCACCACAGTTTATATAGAATTTTAAAAAATATTTTTTTTGCTCAATTTCCCAACGCTTTGAAATACACAGCACTAGTATATTAACAATACATTATCCAAGGTTAATAAATTGTCAAATTTTATTTTTATTATTTATTTATTTTTTTAGTGAGCTGGGGTTTCACTTTGTTGCCCAGGTTGGGCCTGAACTCCTGAGCTTGAGCAATCCTCCCACCTCAGCCTCCTGAGTAACTGGGATTATAAACAAGTACCACTGCACATGGCTCATGGTTAAATTTTAAGAGAAAAAGTCTACTCTCTGGTCACCAGGTGAAAAGTTTTAAAAAACTTTTTAAAAATTCAATGTGAAAAAGGGCTGATAATTTTTTACAAAAGTAATTTCTTTTTACATGTTTACTATTTCTGAGCTCATCTCTACTAAAAATTTTAAAAATTCACTGGGCATGGTGGTACATGCCTGTAGTCCCAGCTACTCAGGAGGTGGAGGTGGGAAGTTAGCTTGAGCTGGGAGATGAGGTTGCAGTAAGCCATAACTGTCCCACTGCACTCCAGCTTGGGTAACAGAGCAAGATACAGTCTTGAAAAAAAAGCAAGCAAGTAAGTTGCACTAATTGTATTACTAATCCAAAAGAAAATAAGCAAATAAGAAAATAAGCACAGAGGACAAAAACAACTTAGTTGTCAAATTAGTTAACAACTGACAACTTACCTTTACTTTACAAGCATGTCTGGAGGGCTCCAATTTTAGATATTTTTTGTACAAAATAATCTTTTCATGTTCACTAAAAATAAAAAAGAATTTTTTTACTTACATATATTATCACTTGTAACAGTTAGGCTTAAAAATAAATGTTTCTGGCCAAATGCGTTGCTCACGCCTGTAATCCCATCAGTTTGGGAGGCCAAGGTGGGCAGATCACGAGGTCAGGAGTTCAAGATCAGCCTGACCAACATGGTGAAACCGTGTCTCTACTAAAAACACAAAAATTAGCCAGGCACGGTGGCACGCCTGTAATCCCACCTACTCGGGAGGCCAAGGCAGAAGAATTGCTTGAACCCGAGATGGGGAGGTTGCAGTGAGTGGAGATCCTGCCACTGCATTCCAGCCTGGGCAACAGAACGAGACTTCACCTTAAAAAAAATTAAAAAATTAAATGTTTCCAGAACAATATCTAAATTCTAAGATTCAGTTTTCCTGGCGAGGCATGAAGAGTTGTGCTCCATTACTGAAACACATGACCTATCACTACATCTACAATTTACTAGCTCAATGAGAAAATTACATCACATAACGTATGTACAACCATGTAGCCAAACTGTATTTTAAAGTTCAATAAACACAGCAATTGCTTCCAACATGCAGGATATAAAACAATTCATATTTTGGGTTACATTAAAGACAGATCGGGGGAAAACCTTTGTAAGAAAAAAAATCACAAGTTGCGTTACAGGTTAATAAATAGGTCTATGTAGCACAGTCTTCGATCCCTCCACCATTTGTAATGGACTTCCCGAGAAGAAAATGTGTTTAAAGTTCCAGACTGACTACCAGATTAACTTCTGAAAGACAGACCACTATGAGTTTGAGACAAATAACACTTCTCAAAATTTCATTCTAATAAAACTCTTCCAGTAACTAGCTATGATCTCCTACCAAATCACCTTCACGGTTAGTTATATAAATAACTAGGCTGATCTACACTGTCTTTAAGATCCCTAAAGGTCTAAACTGCTATGCCTACTGGTACATTTTTATTTTCTCTCCCATAACACATGGCATCAATGTCAGAGAATCAACGATTACTGCAAAAGATGAGGAAAATCAAAACACTAATTCAGAAGAACACATTCACATGTGCAATTCACACACCTGTCATCCAGAACAGTACAAACACTCTTGCCCCTACTGGTTCCACAGTATTCCTTCCCAAAGTACACTTCCATATTTCTTGCTGAACTTAAAATGCCAACAGAATCAATTTCTTCACCTTCATCAGGGCCACACTTTAGGTAAAGGAAGCAAGGATTTTCATCTTGGTTGGTCAAGCTTCTCTTCAAAATCACCAGATCCTGGCTGAGAAGAAAATTAGCGAAAACATCATATAGTTCTCCGAACGCTGCTCATAACCCACTTGCTAGGCCATGGGGTTTCTTTCTTTGAACTCACTTCCACTTGCTGTTGAGACCCAAGCACCCTCCCAAGCACCCAACAAGCGGTCAACACATAATTCATACGGAAATGGAGGCATTTACACCAGGGCTTTACCCTCTATTTTTTCCTCAGTCATCAACATTCTATTCAATCCCCTGCAATTGACTCTCGGATAATTACATAAATTACTGGACACCTACTGTGTGCATAGTAGAAGGTGGACATAAAAAAAAAATCACAAAAGTGTATCTTTTTCAAAATGAAGTCGACAGTAGCTGGACTTTTTACACAGCCTGCTTTGGCGGATAGGAGGCTGGCTTGCCTGCGGGCTGATGGGCGGACGGACTTTGACAGCGGCCCTGACGAGCTGTCACGCTGGACGGGGACCTTTACGGAATTCCGAGTCCGGGTCACCTTTCCCCGCTCACGCTCCAGGGCCTCGGCCCCTTCCCGGCCGGACCCACCCCGGTCCACCTCGCAGCCCTCTCCCCCACTGAAGACCCGGCACTGACTGCTCTCCCGGATCCGTGGCTCAGACCCTCTGGCCTCCCCCCACGGCCCCCAAGGAGCGCGGCAATGGCCGCGCCCAGCGACTCCGTCCCTGTCGGCCCGGCGCACCCTGGAGCAGGCGACGCCGGCAGCTCCTCCCAGTCGAAGTCACGGGGGCCAAGACCGGCTCGGGTGAGAAGGAGGCTGTGGGTCAGGGCCCCGCCTGCAGCACCCCAGGAAGAGGCCAGCGTGAGGCGGCGGGTGAGGCCCCAGTCCTGGGTCCGCGTCTCCATTCCGCCGCCTCCAGTCAGGCCAGCCCAGCCCCGGAACCTCTCTTCCAGTGCTTGAATTCCCGACGGTACAGCATGGAAGTGGGCAGGCAAGGCGACTTCCGGCTCACTCTGCTACAAATACCCGTGGCTTCTGGCTTTGGTAGGGAGGGCAGGCACCAGAGACACGCATGCGCGTGTGGCAATTGGACTCAGGCGGGGCAAAGCATGCAGGGAAGCGGTCAAGAGCGGAGCATGCGCACTGGAAGCCCCTCGCTCTCCCGCTGGAGACTATGCGCAGGCGCGGTGCACTGCGCGCCGGCACGCGGTTGTTCTCGACGTTGGCTGTGGAGAAACAGCAGGCGATGTGGACGACCGTTGCTGAGCTGGTGTGGAGCGTCTGTGGTCAGGTAGGTGTGGTCTCGTCTCTCTACGCGGAATGCGGAACCGAATTCTGACCTCGTTCTTTCCTGAGGGGCCTTTTCAGCTTCCACTCTGTCGGGTCTGCAGCATTTGTGGCAGTGAGCGCGGCGGACGCGCCGATGCTTCGGGTTATTTTTACTCCAAACTCTCCTTGCCTCCCTCACTCACACACATTCTCGCGTTAGAGGAGAGTTGAGGCGGATGATGGGGTTTTGGGGTTGAAGGGCGTCAGTGGTGGGCATTGCTAGGCTTCACCGGGCGCCATCTCACCTTACACCCCCTCCCATGTGCGACCTGCCCCTCAGGCCGCAGGAACCCGGGCAGCCAGGGCTGGACGCTCTCAATGATAGAAATATGAAATGATTTCTTGAAGGAGCTTAAGACTGTGGATGCAGAATGGTGGGAGCAGTTGGAACTTTCTGCATGCCCCACGGATTGGGACTGTAGATAGTGTGCCCGCCCATCCTCTTCCTGTAGAGGCTTGTGCAGATTATTTTTCTGTCTTTTGAAAAAAGGAAGCTCTGAAATTCCACTTGTCAATGATCTTGAGTTCCAAAGTTGTGTTTATCCTCTCTAGGAAATAACGTTTTTGCTAACATATAATCTAATTTTGTTTCAGAGCTGTCTATTCTGGGATCATGACTTAGTGCACATTACTTTAGTCTTCTTTTTGCTTGTTTTCATTGGAGTGTATGTACTAGGACATGTACCCTCTAGCTAAAAATGAGAATATAGTAATCTTTGCATTCTGTTTACTTGTGTCAAAGCAAGAAAAATGATGACCAAATATATTTTTCTATAAGGAGTCGCCAGAATGTATGTATGGTAGGTGAATTCACCAAGATCGACAGAAATGTCACCAAAGGTCTATCATAACAGAATCGTAAAGTCTTCGTTTGTAAAGATTTTTTTTAATATTTTAAAACTCATTCTGAGTTGTCTTTGCTATTGTTTTTGTCCTGTATATCCTGCTTCCTGTGGTTGTAAGTTAACTTTGATCCACATTAACACATGTGGACAATACGAAGGAAAATAGGCTCTTCAGAAACTAATCTGCAATTTCATGAGCAAGATCAATATTATAAACTGGATTTTGACTTCCTTAAATAAAGCTGAATGGCCAGGAATCAGAAAACGAAAGACTCCTATGGTCTATGCTTTCCTTTATTTCCATCCAGCCAATAAAACACCAAGTCCAAATTTTCTTAAAGAAAAACTTACTGTCTAGGCACTGTGGGTCACACCTGTAATCCCAGCACTTTGGGAGGCTGAGGCAGTCGGATCACGAGGTCAGGAGATCCAGAACATCCTGGCCAACATGCTGAAACTCCGTCTCTACTAAAAATACAAAAATTAGCTGGGTGTGATGGCACATGCCGGTAGTCCCAGCTACTCGGGAGGCTGAGGCATGAGAATCACTTGAACCAGGGAGGTTGTAGTGAGCCGAGATTGCACCACTGCACTCCAGCCTGGCGACTGAAAGAGACTCTGTCTTAAAAAAAAAAAAAAAGACAGAAAAGAAAAAAGTTTCCTGTTTTTTTGTTTTTTTATTTTTTTGAGACGGAGTTTCACTCTTGTTACCCAGGCTGGAGTGCAATGGCATGATCTCGGCTCACCGCAACCTCCGCCTCCTGGGTTCAGGCAATTCTTCTGCCTCAGCCTCCTGAGTAGCTGGGATTACAGGCATGCACCACCATGCCCAGCTAATTTTTTGTATTTTTAGTAGAGACAGGGTTTCACCATGTTGACCAGGATGGTCTCGATCTCTTGACCTTGTGATCCACCCTCCTCGGCCTCCCAGAGTGCTGGGATTACAGGCGTGAGCCACCGCACCCGGCCTGAAAGTTTCATGTTTATGTGTCTTCTGTTTCCAAGCTCTGGCTTTATCTGAACAATTCCAGGAGTTTCTTTACTGGTCATTAGCTTTCATTTTCATTCCTTACATTTCATTCTTTGAACTGCTCTTCTCCTGGTGATTGATGCTCCTGACTGAATCAACACCTTAACTCCTTCGCCTGGCATGCAAAGTCCATTGAAACTTTAAACTCTGCCTACCTTCCAGTTTCCTCTACCTAGAATGCCACGGTTTTCAATAGTAGGAAAAATCCTATTTATGATGCAAAACCAAGCTTACTTCATCTGCTATAGAATTAAACAAATTCCTCTGTGCTATACTTACTTTTTTAGGTAGTATAATTCTCCTTTGGTGTCAGACTTGGCCAGTTTATATATTGGTGTTCCTTACTATCTGCATGGTTGCTGAGATTAGGCATTATGTTGAGTACAGGTCTGTTGTATGGAATTGATAGGTTGGTGACAGCTTTTATCACACTAACTAAGAACAGCAGAAAAAGGAAAATTAGTACATTCAATCTTAAGTTTTTTCCAATGCCAAGGTGGTTATGGTTCAGAGCTGACTTCAATCTTAATATGATACATTGTTCTTGTTGTGAATTACAAATGAGTTTTTTGCTTTATTTTTTCCCTTTGAAATAAATCATAAAATATAGTTGGTGATATGGTTTGGTGGTGTCCCCACCTGAATGTCATCTTGAGTTGTAGCTCCCGTAATTCTCACTTGTGGGAGAGACTCAGGAGAAAAATAAATGGTGGGGGCAGTGGTAGTGAATAAGTCTTGGGAGATCTGATGGCTTTATAAGGGGAAGTTCCTTTCGCTTGGCTTTCATTCTCTCTTTGCCCTCCCTTGCTCTTCTGCCATGACTGTAAGGCCTCCTCAGCCATGTGGAACTGCGACTCCATTAAACCTTTTTTTTTTTTTTTTGAGACAGAGTCTCGCTGTCACCCAGGCTAGAGGGCAGTGGCATGATCTTGGCTCAGTGCAACCTCTGCCTGCTGGGTTCCAGCCATTCTTGTGCCTCAGTCTCCCCGGTAGCTGGGGCTACAGGCATGCACCACCATTCCTGACTAATATTTGTAGTTTTGTTAGAGGTGGAATTTTGCCACGTTGCCCAGGCTGGTCTCAAACTCCTGGCCTCAAGCAATCCACCCACCTTGGCCTTCCACAATGCCTGGATTATAGGCATGAGCCACTATGCCCAGCCATTCATGGTATTTTCAAAGGTGAAATTCTTTTTATAACTAGAATTTCATAACACTTAGCTCTATGAATTAGTATGGAAGGGAAAAGATGGACAAAAGTAGTAAGGGGTGGAGTTTTACTTGCCATTGCTGTGATTAAGAAAATCTGGGCTTCAGCAGCTAGACTGTTAGCAATTTCTGTTACCAATTGCAGAACCTGATTTCTGACTTGGTAGAATACTGTGAAAGAAACTAGAGGAGAAAGTCTTCTTCTAAAGATACTGGGGATGGCAGAGGTGGAATCTCATATTTTCTAAAATGTCTGGGTATCCTTTTGAGGATGTCATTCGTTATACGTACCAGGGTACTTAGACTCAGAATTGTCACATTGTTCTTTCTGCTCACTTATTCCCAGTTGAATACAGTTCCCCTTAAAGACAATTAACATGTTTGGAACAGGAATCTGGATCAAAGTGAATTGAAAGCTGTCCTAGGAACAGCATGGGAACATTTAGCTGAGGCTGACCTTCGAAGTAGATGCCGGGTACTTCCTGCAGCCTATGTGGTAGTCAGGAGAGCTAATAGGTAAGGCAAGAATCTCATGGAATGCCCAGGGCCCTCAGTGGCAGCACTAAAAGAACAGCCAGTAAGGTGAGATGGGTCCAGTAGCCTCACCCTGAGTTCAAGGCAGAATGACTGTCATTCCAGCATGAAGTGTTGCTGCATACGTCATTGCTTCTCCGAGGATCCAAAGGGACAGAATGGTGACAACTGAAGCTGAAGTTACTCAGTGACACTGCCCATGTGGCTTAACTGATCTAATATAATTGTGATTTAAATCAAATTTAACAACGAATCTTTAATAGGAGTGACCTGCCCCTTCAGGTTATATGTTTGTATGTGAGGAAAGTTGGCCTCATCTCCACTGGGGATGAGGATTGCTTTTTGGCTCATTTATTGCCCCCTATAATTAATGGCAGTGACACCAAAGACCAGGTTAGTCTAAACATGAGTACTTGTATCCAAGAGAGAGAGAAAAGTTTGAATCCCTTTCCTCCGCAAAGTTCTTCAGCATACCCAGTTTTTTACTTAAAGCATCTGAGGTTTAGGTAAAGGGAGAGGCAAAAGGTGGCACAAAGGGGCAGAACCACTCAGTGCCAGGAAGCAAGATTTACTTTAAGATTCAGGCCAGGCATGATTGCCCATACCTGTGGTCCCAGCACTTTGCTGGACAGATTGCTTGAACTCAGAAGTTGGAGACCAGGCTATGCAGCATGGTGAAACCTCATCTCTACAAAAAATAAAAAAATTAGCCAAGCATGGTGGTGTGTGCCTGTGGTCCCAGCTGGGAGGATCTCTTGAGCCCAGGAGGCAGAGGTTGCTGTGAGCCAAGACCGTTCCATGGCACTTCAGCCTGAGTGACACAGTGAAACCCTGTTTGAAAAAAAAAAAAGAAGCAAGCAGCTGCCTGCTCAGGTAACCAAATGAACTGCTGTACCTCTGCCCAAAGCTGTGTGTCTTCATTGATAACGCCACTTATTTGAGCTTTGGGTACTCTATGATACAATGGCCATAACCACATTACCTATCAGCTGGGGGTAAGTAGGGATTGCTGCCCATCAGTCCTGATAACTTTCCTTCCTCTTCTCAAAGAAGCAACGACCAATGTGCCATTTAGGTAGCTTGTTTCAATCCTGCCTCTCACCACTCAGCCTCTAAAGATTTAACAGGTAGGATGCTGGTGGACTTTCACCCTTCACCCACCTATGACTTGGACAAAAG